AAGGTTTAAGGTTTATAAGGTTTAGGGTCTAGGGCTTTTTGCCCATCAGCCTCTGCACCAGCAGGCTAGCAAGTACTTCTCTGAAGCCCTCCGCTTCATCAAAGCCGATCTGGAGGATGACCCGGTCCGGGGATCTCGAAAGTCTTACCCTAGGAGCATACCCTACCACCCCTCTTTTCCAAAAAACAGCAGGTCTTAACCTATAAAGCTAGGTACTCCAACTAAAACATGGTGGGGTATTAAACCCTAAACCCTAAAGCCTAAACCCTCCACCCTTCCCCCGACACCGTATCGAGTTTTCGGGACCTCGTTTCGAAGGCTCAGGCTTCGCAAGTGGGTCCGGGAGCCCTATTTTGGGGACTCCCGTCGGCCAAAGTACGAAATGCTGGGTCTCGCAGCGGGGGTTTAGGGTTCCAGGGTTTAGGGTTCAGTTTTTTTTTGGGGTTCAGGGTTTAGGGTTTAGTTTTTTTTAGGCTTCCAGGGTTTAGGGTTTAGGGTTTTTTTGGGTTCAGGGTTTAGGGTTTGAGGGCCCTTGCGCCCTTTTTTGTAGTCGTAGGTTCCTTATAAGCTTACTCTATACCAAACAGGGAGTCCTTGGTATTCCAATTTTGCTGGGAAGTGTCCAATATCATCTACTCTGCCCAGAACCCTAAGCCCTAAACCCTAAATCCCAAACCCTAAACCCTAAACCCTTAAAGCAAGTACCGAATTCTTCGGACCTTTAGGACCTTTACTTAAAGGCTGTAACCAGGAGGGTCTATATACACTATTATTTTGGAATTAGGTCCCCCAAACGGTTTAGGGTTTAGGGTTTAGAATTCAGGGCCAAAAGCAGTATAAGGATGGTCTATTGGGGTCTAGTTCCATAATGGTAGTATCTTTGGACCCTCTGGGTAAGGACTTTGTAAGTAGTAGTGATTAGGATAATCCTACTTAGAGCACTTATGACCCTATCTATAACCCTAAACCCTAAACCCTAAACCCTAAACCCTAAACCCTAAACCCTAAACCCTAAACCCTAACCGTACTTACTAGGTCCCTTGAGCCCTAGAAGTGCCCTACTTTCTGAGCCCCTGGAGCCCTTTAGGTAGGGTCAAAGTTCCGGAGATAAAATGAGCAGGACCTGCGACGGCGATGTGTGCGCCTCTTACTCCTGGAGGACGAGGCAGCCCGCGCCGGCTTACCAGGGTTGATGTTTAGGGTTTAGAGCTTTGGGTTTAGGGGTTTAGGGTTTAGGGGTTTAGGGTTTAGGGGTTTAGGGTTTAGGGTTTACTTAAGGCTAACCTAAACCGCATAGGGCCTAGGCTTCCGTTGTTAGGGGAGCCACTGGTCGCGAGGAGCTCCTCCTACTCTGGGGCAGCCCAGCGCTGTCAGTGGAACAGCAGGAAGTCATTGTGTGCCTTGGATGCAAGCTGGCGGGACTCGCTTTGCCTGTTCTGTTTTTGGGATCAACGGACGATACAACCAAGGACCGCAACCCCTAAATTCTATACCTTGAATCTTAGCTAGCACGAGGGGTCGTCACCCAGTATTTTGACGTTGTGCGGTTTGGGTAGAGGTGGCCTCCATCATAGCCCAATCAGCATAAATTCCAAACCCTAAACTCGATCGTGGCCTCAATATCTCAGTTGTCAGGACCATAAAACTTCAATGAAGGGTGTCGGGAGGTGATCCTGGACTTTGGTGTTTAGGATTTGATTTAGGGTCCAGGGCCCAGTGTTTAGGCTTTGATGTCGAGTCTCTTTCCTGCACCAGGGCAATCGTTCCTGCGAGAGTCTTAGGTACGATGCCGGAAAGGTTCAGGGTTTAGGGTTTAGGGTCTAGGGTTCAGGGTTCAGGGTTCAGGGTTTAGGGCTTAGGGTTCAGGGTTTAGGGCTTAGGATCCCGCAAGCGGTCATGGCAGAAGCGGTTAGATTTTCGCCTCGTGCGGCGAACTGCCCAATTAAGAGTGTGTTCTACCCTAAACCTCGTGGACCCTTGTACTGAGATCCCAAGCCCCAAAGAGTAAACCTTGCCCAGAGAGCCCATGTTTTGACAAGCCGATTTAATGCCATATTCGGAGCCCCAATCCAAGCCCCAGAGCCGTAACCCACCATCCTTTCTACTCCTTTGTGCACGTAGTTTCGGGCATTCCCGTTCAGAGTAGATACTCGGACATGGATATGCTTACAAAACCAACCAAGACCCTTTGCAAAAGCCTAAACCCAAGATCGTAAAACCTAAACCCTGAACCTTCAAGGCCCAAGCCCTAAACCCGAACGTCGCGGTTTCATGGGGTTTAGTCTCAGAAACCCTAAACCCTACATCCGCAGAAACCACACCTGAAACCCTAAACTCTTACAAAACACCTCAACCCTAAACTCTTAAACAGCCCTGCGCTCTTGGCCAGGAGCAACAGCCTACCTTTCATTTAGTTAGTAAGGATATCTTTGTAGCTTAGTGTAGCTCTTTGCTACTACAGGGTCCTACTTGGAGGTTCATGGGCAGTTACAAGTTGGGTTAGAAGCAAGGTAACTATAGTTATAACCCATATAACGTGGCCTTTGAAACACTAAACCCATCTAAAACCCAGTTATCTCAAACCTACACAGCTGGCCTTAGACCCTGCCTCCTTGGCCCAGGAGCAACAGCCTACCTGTCATTTAGTTAGTAAGGATACATGTAGCTTAATGTAGCTTTTTGATACTATAGGGTCCTAGTTCCTAAGTCACGTGGCCCCTAAACCCTAAACCCTAAACCCTGCCTCCTTGGTCCAGGAGCAACAGCCTACCTCGACTCTTTCCCGGTTGCACCAAGTGGAGCTTTGCGCGACGCGGTTCGGCCGGAGGATCTTCGCTTGGCTTCCTCCGGCAGTTTAAGGGGTTTAGGGTTTAGGGTTTAGGGGTTTAGGGCTTAAGGGGTTTAGGGTTTAGGGTTTAGGGGGTTTAGGGTTTAGGGTTTAGGGTTTTGAGGGGGTTTAGG